CCCCCCCCCAGGGAGGATGGCCACGCCACAATCCCTTCTCCTCCATTCTCCTCTTGGGATCTTGAGCATGCATGCACATGCGCCTGGTGTGAGTTTAAGCCCCGGATTCGGGACTCGAACCACGGTCGACTATGTGAGAGTCCAGTGACATAGCCATTACACTAACTGCTGGTCCCAATGAGGTATTGTTCTTAACCCTTACAGGAGAGATACTTTCTTGGTTTCTCATGTTTCTTTTTTTTTTTAGAGGTATTTTGCTTTGGGCTGCGTGCGCTCGCCAGACAGACAGAGAGAGACAGAGAAATAGAAAGTGAGAAATCACCCCCCCAGCAGGGATGGCCCTGTCACAATCCCTTCTCCTCTATTCTCCTCTCGGGATCTTGGGCACGCACGCACATGTGCCCGGCATGAGTTTAAGCCACCAGGTCCAGGACTCGAACCGCAGTTGACTACATGGAAGTTCAGCGACATAGCCATTACACTAACTGCTGGTCCCGGTTTCTCATGTTTCTTGTACCTCTGCGGTTGTTTCTGGTCATTCTGTGACAAAATCTCTCCTCCACAGGGATTAGCAATGTGGTATAAACAGTAAGATTAGGAGTTCAGATTTATAGAAAGAAATTTCTTTGTTAAAGCAGGAGATTCAATAAGCATTGAAGATTTCAATGAATGTAAAAGGATTCAGGTGCTTGGCTACTGTGCACCTAGGCCTTTGTAGACATTAAGTGTCTGGAGAGTGAACTGAGAGTAAGAAAATAAGATTAAAAAATAAAAGCAAAAAGAAAAATAAGAAAATACTACCAAAAAAGAGAAAAAAATGAAAAAAATAAAGTAAAAAAATTTAAAGGGGGAGAGAGCGTGAGACAGACTGCCAGAGACAGAGAAAAGACAAAGGTCTTCCTACCTTGTCTGAATATTTTGGGAGTCTAGGAGGTGGATTTAGAGCATGGCTTCCCTGAACACCCCAGGACACACCTCAGCTTTAAAATGGCTTCTTGTCTGAATATTTTGGGAGTCTAGCTAATTATATTTATTATTATTATTTTTTTTTTCATTTGACCAGAGAGAGAGAGGGAAAGTGAGAAAGTAAGCCACCAGGCCCAAGACTTGAATCATGGTTGTCCATGTGGGAGTTCAGCACCCCCACCACCACACCATCCATCAGCCCTGATAAATTTTATTTAAGCCAAGAGACAGTGGAAATTAGTCAGGTATAGACTGCACAGCATGTTAAATTTTGTTACCAACTTTTCTTAAAACTGCTATTAGTAGTTGCCATTGTCTACGCCAGGTACCACATAGCTTTGGACAGCTTTGTGAGAACATTCTTATTTTATTTTAATTTCGGGAGGATTTGAGAAAGGTTTGGCCTTACCATGCAAGCTTCAGAGAAATACTTTACCTTTAGAGTTAGGGTTAGGGTTACCTTTAGGGTTAGGAAGTACTTTATCTTTACAGTTAGGGCTCCCATGTGTCCCAGCTCACCTCTAAGCTGATTTAGAAGATGCGAGTGCAGTGAGAAAAGAATACCAAGCCAGGAATCTGGAGATCGGTATTTTAGTTTGTGTCTGCTGCTAATTAGTCAGAGGATCATGGACAAATCCCTTTGCTCCGTGGCCTCTGTTTTCTTATCCGTGTGCTGCAAAGGAGGGGACTTAGATGATCTCTGTAGTTCTGTTTAATTTTTTTATAAGTTTTCATTCTGTCCACAATGTAACAAAAGCGCAGATGGACTTTCTCAGGATCACAGGGATGGACGTAGAGCAGCCCGCCCTTTCAACCATGTATTTGTATGATGCTCTTCTCTTTTCCTTAGCATTACAATGTTAACCAAAATCTGAAATTATCCAGCTCCATCCTAAAATAAGAATAATGTTTTCATTCCAATTCAATTTAATCTATTTAGATTCATATCATAGAAAATCGCATTGGATACTTCTGTTGACATTCTATTTTCCATAAATTCATTTTTGAAAAACCTGTTCTTTTGTTTTCCTCATGTGAATCAGCATACATACCAATGTATACATATACACAATCACATTTTCAAAAAGTGTGATTGTAAAGTAAATATTCCTTGTAGCTTGTTTTCTTC